CAGAAACAGGAAGCGGAATTCGCCAAATAATAAAAGCGGAATCAAGCGGAATCAAGCGGACAAGCCAAAGACGCATAACATCATACCGTTGTCCTTCCGGAAATAGTAATTCTTCCAACCCCGAGGACATTATGTAAGTAATGAATCCTTCTAACCTTATGAATTTTTGTGTACATACGTAAATTCTTTTCAACGAGAAGGGAGGCATTTCTCCCATAAGAGGAAAAACCATTCTTTTGTCCTTTTGGTGAATGTCGCTTATCTCCACTTGGTGGACCTTTATTAGAGCGTGCTGCTCTCCACATAGTCTGGGCAGTGGGCAGAACACCCGATCCCCAAGTGGGAATGCGAACCCTGCCTTTGCTCAGAGCCCACTATAGCTCAGAATTACCCAAACTTCACTGGTGAGAAGAGACAGAAAACCAGATCCTTCGAACGAACCGATTTCCCACCCCACACTCAATTGTTCTCACTGCACTCAATGCATTTCGTCCCCTGCTGGTTCGCTGACCGATGCCTGCCAATGGTGGAAGTGTACATCCAAGCCGCTCGTAGAGCGCTCAAGGAGCAAGATAAAGCACAGTCCGAAGCTACACTGAGACTAACAGCATCACAAAACTCGAGTTCTCCCTCCCAGGCCTCTTCGGAAGGGACACAGCGGCCAGCACCATCAACAAAGGCGCTGGGACAAAGAGCAGTTGATTTTTTGACGAGCAAAAGGGAAATAAAGAAGGCGATCGTCAAAACAAAGGAAACTATCAAAAACACAGTGGGAGAACACGTAGAAGTCGAAGTCTGGGAGTACCCCAAAGCAACAACCGCAGTCGCTGAGCGAAATGTACGAAAAGCACACAGTCTTATTTAATTTCACCAACAAGAACATGGACCTACCGTTAAATGAGAAGAGGAAATGGATGATGGATCATTTAATGGAATTGGAAAATGTTCCAGGAAAAGAACCTGATGTGTCTTACTACAAGCGGGACAAATTCATGGTCATGGTGTTGTGCGTGGATCCTACTCACGCCCAATTTCTCGTCATTGGGTTCCTTGAAGTGCAAAGGCTCTGTTGTCACAAACCAATCATGGAAACCACCCAAAGAACCACAAGTTGAGGCTTCCAGGCATCGTCAGATGATGCTCAGGAACCATTTATGGGTTCAATTTGACAACCTATCTGAGGCCCTACACAGCGTCATACAAAAAAGGTTGCAGGACGAATAACCGAACAACCCAATAATCGACAGCTTGCAGGCTAACCCGGACTTTATGGCCCCAAATCACGATGCTACAGTCTTCCCCCGACAAAACGCACGTATGTAGTACCCCAAGCAACAACCGCAGTCGCTGAGCGAAATGTACGAAGAGCACGCAGTCTTATTCAATTTCATCAACAAGAACATGGACCTACCATTAAATGAGAAGAGGAAATGGAAAGAATACGCACACACACACACACACACACACACACACACACACACACACACACTCGCTCACAGGAGCCTTCTTCCTTCTTCCTTCTCAACGAGGAAGGGATGGGTGGCCGGAGCGAGGATTGACGGCAGTCTTCCAACGAGGTAGGGAAGCCCTGATCCTACCCACAATCCGAGGGCCACCACCCATGGTGGGCAGCACAGTCCATTCGGAGCATGAGGAGAGGAGGGAGAACCCCCTGGGCCTCGCCTGGCCTCAACTCTTGTTGGCCCTTCCCCTTTTTTCCCCTTTTTCCTTTTTCCTCCCTTTTTTCCGCCCCCCGTTTTTCCCCCCCTCTTTTTCTCCTTTTTTTCCCCCCTTTCTTCCGTTCGTTTTTTCCTTTTTCCCAAAATGGAAATTGCAATAAAGCAGTGAGGGCCGGGTGAGCGCTGGCATAGTGCTCCCCGCCCTTATCAAAGAGGTGACCAATATAGTGCGCTCTCGCCCTGTCTGTGCACGGGATCGTTCCCACGCACTCAGGAACAGCACATGATTTTACCGACAGCATAGTAGCTAGCCATCTCGCTTCTCGAAGAGTCGTGTACCCTCCCACCCTCGTGCAAAAAGAAGGCCTATCCTGTCTTTTTCCTTCTCCACCTCCCCATGTTCCCCCTTTTTCTCTTCTTTTTTTTCTCGTCTTTTTCTCGTCTTTTTTTTCTCTGTTTTTTCTTCTTTCTTGCTTTCCCTTTTTCTTTTCTCTGTTTCCTTTTTCCTTTTTCCTTTTTTCTTTCTTTTTTCTTTTTTCTTTCTTTTTTCTTTTTTCTTTTTTCTTTTTTCTTTTTCCTGTCCCCTTTTTTTCTTTTTGCCTTTTTTTGTCCCTGTCACTTGCCACTTTGGTTAACCACCCTTGTCACTTCACGACTGAGCGCACCGAACCAACGATTTCGAGGATCAGTGGAAGGATTCGGTGGGGATACAACGGGAACCTAGCCAATTCGGAAAGGCAATTCGATGAATGAGAACTGGGAAGCGGGCCAAGTGCAGATGCTGCCGACCTACGGGATGAGCAGAGACGACGAGTGGGCGGCGTTCTTTTCGATTAGCAACTGTGGTTCCCCGAGCAGGGTTAAATAGCTGGGAACGGGCACTGTAGCAACTCGTCATTACTCGCCGGAGAATCTGGAAGTGGCCTCCTCAGCCCATCAAGCGGAAATTCGGACGAGAGAAAGCGGCCGATCAACATGGACTTCTTCATGGACCTGGACCTCATTGACAGTCCCAGGAACCGGTATGGCCCCGCACCTCGCGAGCATCCGCATGCGCCTGGTCTCACACACAGGAACCGCCGGCCCCCCGGCAGAGCAGCCTAACCGACATGCGAGCTGAGCTGAGCACAATGGCATGGCGATCCGGGACCGATGAACACCAGGCTGGCGAGGGCGCACTGCCCTGCGCCTTCGTCTCGTTCCTCTCACTGCTCGCCTGCCTAGCGCTCCTCGACTTCATTGCAGCGCTGCCTCCACTACCTTGCGCACCAACTACTTGCGCTGCGCCACCATGCTCCTCCACTCTCCCCCCTCCCCCCGCCCTGCTGGAGCACCGCCAGGGGTGTTTTCCCGAGGACTTCC